CATCCATCTTCTTCCGCTTATCCAGGTTCGGGTCGCAGGGGTAGCAGCTTAAGAAGGGAGGCCCAGACTTCCCTCTCCCCAGTCACTTCTTCCAGCTCCTCCAGGGGAATCCCAAGGCGTTCCCAGACAAGGCAAGAGACATAGTCCCTCCAGCGTGTCCTGGGTCTTCCCCAGGGCCTCCTCCCAATTGGACGTGCCAGGAACAACTCATCAGGGAGGCGTCCAGGAAGCATCCTGACCAGATGCCCGAGCCACCTCAACTGGCTCCTCTAGACGTGAAGGAGCTGCGGCTCTACTCTGAGTCCCTCCTGGATGACTGAGCTTCTCACTCTATCTCTAAGGGAGAGTCTAGCCACCCGGTGGAGGAAACCCATTTCAGTCGCTTGTATCCATGATCTTGTTCTTTCGGTCAAGACCCAGAGCTCATGACCACAGATGAGGGTAGGAACGTAAATCAACTGGTAAATAGAGAGCTTCACTTTTAGACTCAGCTCTCTCTTCACCACAATGGACCGGTACATCACCCGTTTCACTGCAGACGCTGCGCCAATCCGCCTGTCGATCTCTCGCTCCCTTCTTCCCTCATTCGTGAACAAGATCCTGAGATACTTAAACTCCTCCACTTGGGGCAGGACACCTGTTCTGCAGATTAAGCTCAGTGTTTGGGGTTTGTCTGAAAGCTGATGGCGCCTCCTAGGCATAATAACGAAATCCTTGGCTCCAAAATGCCTATAAATGTTTTCCCATTTCTCTTTTGGTAAGTCGATGATCTCCTTGACAAAATTGAAACTTTATAGTATGTAATTTTCTTCAACAATTGGACTATAATATAGATCCAGTGTAACTTTTACAGTACATATATGTTGCTCTTCTGTGATCACTTAAAAGATGGTCATTGACTGAGTATTTTCAGTTAGTTGGAATAGCTATTTTGGTTTCTAAGTATATTAGAGATTATTTTATTTTTGCAGCTTATAATTTTCAGCACTTTTCTAGGTATGTTTTCCAATTTCCAATTAACTTTTTAATCTAATTATGCCATTCTCAAAAGTGAGCACAACAGTATCTGGAACAACCCATTTTCCTGTTCACTGTTCCTATTTTGAACACACTGCTTTCATTTAATGATTTAGTTACACAGCATCAGCAAGTCATAATTGTTGTGCCCGTTTTTATTACTTTACAACACCAAACAGCAACATTATTTGCCTTAATTAAATATATTTTCTACCAAAATTAGTGACTAGTTAGTGATGTTGTATTGCTATGATGTTGATCATAACTATTTGTGTAGTATATGTAGTGGATCTATTTGCTTTAGCGGAGCCACTCCCCTTTTTGTTGAGTTGCCTTCTATGTTATTCGCCTGCGCATTGATATGTTGTATTGGAGACTCAAGTGAAGATCAGTAAAGTTCATGCTGCACCACCGAGATGAATCTCTTTATTTAATTATACTATGTTGGAGTAAAGACACAACAATTTGTATTTTAATAATGGTATATCACTAGTTTAATATAAATAGAGTTGTCAATAAGAGAAAATGATTGAATTTACTGATTTGGTTACCATAGGTCTTCTGAAACATACCATAAAACCTTAAGTATAAGCATGTGCTCAAAGCTACCACATAATTATTCACAGACTCAGGTCTAGTACCACCCAACTTACATAGCCAATGCTGATGTCAGCTTTGCCTGATATACTGTTACAATTCTGTCATCAGAAATAAAATCATTTGATGCCGTTGCTCCAACAGTAACTGAATGGTTAGAGCTTTTCAATCCTTTCAGAGACAGTTGTTTGTCCGATTACTTTCAAAGGACTTGACACTACCTTCTGACTGTCTGCAGCTGCACTAAACTAACACTGAAAAGGCCTGCATTTTCAAAGGAAAAAGGCTCAGATTCCAACAAGATAATATTTTTTTATCTCCAGTACGTCGTTGTGGGTCATCATCCGTGAAAATTGCTGGGAGTGTGTTTCTATGGCAACAGCAAACGTAAACACCGTCAATCCGTTCAAAATATTCTTTGCGAAGAAAAGCATTAGTCATAGGGAGTGGCTAGTGTAAACATGAACTCGTCATGATGTTTTGATTTAGCCAATCTCTGTTTTTGTTCGTCATCCTAACCTCACTGGTTGGGATTTGTTAGGTTTCCTCTGACATGTGCACATAGGGGAGGAGATTGAGGACAGATGGTTAAATTTCAGGCTTGTTTAAACATTAAATGAAGTGCAAAAATAACTGTATTTTGAGAAAGAGAGCTTTATGTAATGGATTGGTTTGGTATAACCAGTCATTCATATTGGCTAATACTGTGGTATTTTATATTTTTTCTCAATTGTATATTCCTGTGTTTCTCCAACTGCTTATGTTTAACCAAATGACCTCGTAAAAGAGCCATAAAATTTTTATGAACATGAAGAGTGTTAACTGTTCAACACACACAACCCTGCATTCTTTCTTGTAAGTGATGAACACACAGTAGCTCTTGTGTTAAATGAGGCCCTGCATGTTCTGACTTGTATGGGAAGCAGGTTTTAAATACCATTCAATCAAAATCAAGGCACTTATCTAAAGCAAGCTTTAAATTACTGTTGTAGTTTGGTTCTTCTTATAAGAATCACTGAACTAAAAAAACATTAAGCCATAATTGGCCAGTATCATAAGAGCCCTTCACATGAATCTCACCCAACAGTGAAATCTTCTACTGAAATTAAATGACAGAAGGAAGTTGGTGAAACTTAACATCCAAACGGGTGAAGATACTTAAAAGTTCAAGAGCTTTTAAACATTGGTTTTGACATGAATGCTATAGACATTGAAGGGTATCCATGCCTAACATCCGTTCTTCCTCTTATGACAAGTTTAAAGTGGAAATCATTCATGTTCTGTTTTTCCTTAAGGATCGCCATCTGTTCTTTCCATGAGAACAACTTTAACAGAGAAGATTCAGACCAATCTGGTCTGA